GGCTAATTTATACAGCCAAACTGGAAGGGTGAAAATACAAGTATAATGAAGCTGGGCTTAGCTATATTGTAAAAAAAGACTGGCAGGTTTCTGTTCTAATTTGCACCTAATTGCCAAAAGTAAATGACACAGCATGTGAACTATGATATTAGAAGCAATATTAATTTGCTTTCTGCCTGCAGATTTCAGATATAATGCTTTCCAATTTAGGACAAATAATCTGACTCCTTTAAAACTGCCAAATTATTTTAGTGCTGGAGGCAGAAGATCTCCCCAATATGCTAAATAACTAAATTGCTGTCCTCACTTCCAAATTTGCTGCCTGAGGTAGCTACCTTGTCTAATGATAAAGGCTGGCCTTGCCCTAAGGTGTCCACTCTGATCTCAGCAATCTGTGGGTTTTGGGAATGGATTTAATCTAGCAACTTCTCTCTCTGATTATCACTGTCAACTACATTTAACAGACAGCCTCCCTTTTCAAGGATTGAGTTGGGATACCTCTAAAACAGGGCTTTTCAACCTTTTCATCCATTGTACTACTTTTAGAATATGGCAACATCCGAGTACCACCAATCGCCTAGCAAATTGTCAAAAACTTGATGGCCCCCCCAAAAAAGGAAAAAAGTGATAAAGTACAGGTAGTCCTCGACTTATAACAGTTCACCTAGTGACTGTTCGAAGTTACAATGGCACTGAAAAAAGTGCCCCCCAAGCCACAGCTGAGCAAGACAGTGCCCGGTGGTGCTTTTCTTCCTGTCCGAGGTTTTCATTGTTGTGAGCATTTCTGTTGAGGATTGACAGCGGGGGTGGGGTGGGGGGAGGGTGTTTGGTTTTTATTCCCCCCGTCTGCTGGGTGGTTATAGCAGGTTTTGGTCACTTCACATGACCCTGGGACACTGTGACCGTCATAAATATGAATCAGTTGCCAAGCATCTGAATGTAAATCACAAGACCCTGGAGATGCTGCAACATTCCAGCTGATTGGTGCTTCTTCAGGGCTTAGCAGAAGCACCAGGATCAGCGCCGAGCTCCAGCTGAATCCTGGCGCTGATCCTGGTGCTTCCGTTGAGCCCTGACAGCCCTGCAGCTCTAGCCATCTCTCGCTCAGGCTTGTGCAGTGCTGCCACTGGTTCAGCTCATTCCCCTCCCCCGCTACTTTTCTAGGATGGTCACGTACCATCTGCCAGGTGCCATTGTACCACAGGTGGTACCCATACCATTGGTTGAAAAGCCCTGCTCTAAAACAGGAGATGTCTCCAATCGGAAATGAAAGTGGCGCATTGGGATGGGACTGGGTAGAGTGAATGTCAGTTGCAAAGAAGAGAGGCAGAAGAGTTTTCATACAGTTTTCTATATGGAAATGTTTCTGCAAAGAGGAAAGGAAGCCACAGAGAAGTTATAGACCAGGGAACCTGCACCTCTCCTGCAGCTACTGAACCACAACTCCAAAAGTCACATTGGCCTGTTGTAAAGCAGAAACCTTTAAAGGGCCACAGCTTCCCCATCTTTGACATAAAAAGGTAAGGGAAATTGAGTAGCCCTTGGCTGGCAGGCAGTCCCCCAAAAGTCTGCTGAGTGAGCATAGGAGAAGGGGGAAAGAGAATGATTGGCATCAGAGGAACGACAACAACAACAACAAAAATAGATCACAAAGAAAATGGAGGAGGGTTGTCGAGATGAGAAATTACTCAAGAAGTAACCTAGTTTCAGTAAGTTTTTTTTTCCTTTTGTAAAATGTACAGTTACAGTTAGTAATCACTTCCAAAATACAATAGAAAAACCATGCAGCGTGTTGTGTTCTCATAGCATACCTACCCATGGTCAACAGAAGCCAGTTTTATTCAGCTAACAGCATTTCCTGGACTTCTCCAGTGCACTGAATCCTATAAAATCCCCACCAGATACGTCAGCATGATGAATTGCAGTATAATTGGCTAGTTGGTAGTTCAAGATTTTGTAGAAACTCTGTTTATTAATTGCTGCGTATGCCAGCTATCACTGCCATGAACCCTTGAATAGTCATAGACCAGCTGACAAAGGTTTCACTTCCTTTGAAGGAGGACAGCACTTTTGAAATGTAGTGTCTTTTGCAGTATTTCCTCCAACTGCAAATGTTGAAGCACTGCCTAAGTGGACAAATGATCTCCAGGTAGATGTCCTCCCAAGAGCAGCTGGTCTGTTAATTCTGTATCAGAGTCCTGTAGCTCCTGGCATTCCAGCAGTATTTATTTGCAACTCACCCACAGCTTTCAACGGTAATTTACTGTACAGGCTTTGGACAGGATCAAAGAGATTACTAGACTGCCCTTAAAAGTGCTGTGGATTATTGCTGGAGAAAAGCCAGGATGATGAGCATTTGTCAAAGCAGTCTGGGAATTGAGCGTGTTTTGATGGCATCAAATTCATGGTAAAAACAGCCCTAAGACAGGAGGTACATAGATGTAGAGGGCTTTGGGAAGAGAAAGTTGAGTCTTCCAACTTTTAACTTTCTGGGTCCAGCCCAGCTATTAGAGAGTAGCACTGGTGGCCTAATGTTGGAAAAACATTTGAATACTTTTCAAAGAACAGTGAACTGTTTGTGTTTGGTATACAGGTATCTTTAGTACAGTGGTTCTCAACCTTTTTAATGCCGCGACCCTCAACTGGTCGTAAGTCAAGGACTACTCAACCGGTCGTAAGTCGAGGACTACTCAACTGGTGCAGCACCGTTTGCAGAATGGGACTTTTGGTGGGCTCAGCAGGGCAGAGACAGCCTGGACAATTCCTATTGGCTTTTGAAAGCCAATAGAATTAGACTCTATTCAAGAGAGTCTATTCTATTGGCTTTCAAAAGCCAATAGAATAGACTTCTCTCGTAGTGATTGAGCATCATTTTCTGAGATGCTTTTAACTTCCCAGTTTAATTTAATGTACCTTGAGAGTTTTAGATTGTACCTCTATCCCAATATTAAACATGGCCGAAGTGTGAGGATTTGTGGGAATGGCCATGGGAGACAGGAGGAAGCGATGCAAAAGGTATCTCAGTCCCCAGAAGGAAAAAGAGCCTGGGAAGCATTTCAGAAGGGACCCTCCCTAATTTTCCAGAAAGTAATAGGAAATGAGGGGAAAAATACTTTTAGACTAACAAGATTCTGTTAAAGTAACCTTACGAAAAAAGATAAGAGCCGGTGTTCATTGTTATGCTTCTTATTTGGATTTCCCACAAGGCTACTACTAGGCAAAAACGGCCAGATGTTGTCACCTATTGGGACCATTTACTCTGCAGCCTTCTTAAAAAGGCAAAGAACGATGACAGTAGAACTGTATCCATCAAGAAACCATATCAGCAAAGAGCCCTGAGGGGACACTCCCTTTAGCTCCCTTTCAGAAACTCTCCTTTCTTGTATCAGTTTCCTGAAATGTACACATTACCCACCACCCTTCATGTAAATCTATGCTGGATGAACCATCTGTGATGTGGTAGGCTGAAGGCTTTCCCCATGACAAATCCACCAGCATTGCGGCTTGAAATAGCAGGTTGACTGTTTTCATAAGGAGATTTACTGTTGGTAGAATATACCAGCTGCTGGCTAGGCAACATAAAACTTGCATTCCATTACATTTAAGGAACAGCAATTTGGGCAAAGCTGTCATAAAGTAATAAAATTATTCAAAACTCAAATCAGTGGAATCACTTTAGACTCTGGGAAGACCCTTCCAAATTATGCCTTCTCAGGAAATTGTAGTTGCTCACTTTACTGGCACCTCACATGTTGTTGATTTCATTCCAGAAGGTCTGCCTATCAAAACGTATGAAGCAACTGTCATGGTTTCCACATTTTTATCAGTTAAGCAAACATCCTGGATAAACGTTGTTTCTGTTTTGAGAGGTGCATGGAGGTATATTGGATGCTTTTTCCTCTGGTTAAGTCTCCTTCTATTCCAGTGAATAAACATTCAGAGCCTTCATTCCCCCCATGGACTACCCAAGGCACTGGGTTCTGCAGCAAAAAGGGAGGATCCCAAGAAGACACAAGTGTTTCCCATGGGGTCAGGAAGAAAAAAAATCTCTTGCCAACTGCTAGCCACTGAAAGCTAAGTTAATTGCATATGCATACTCCTGGTGGAAGAAAACTCTTTTATCTAGGGCAGCAAAGGAAAGAAGAACCTGTGTTAGCCCTATGTACATAACTTGATTTTTAGACTTTGCAGCTGGGCTGTGAGCTACAGGTCAATCTCCAAAGCTGTGAGAGCATCTTGACCAGGTAGGTTTCACTGTACAGGGATAGAGGCAAATCTCCAGGATGCATCTGTACCAATTCTTCTGCCTAGATTTTGTGTCAAGACTTCGGAACGTGTATGTATATTGTGCTTGATGCATTTTGCTTCTTCTATTGAGAAAGGTGAAGAATTGTGCAAGCAGAAGCTCTATCCATCACTATTTGAAATCCTGTACACTACTGCCCTTTTATTGTTGTCCATATCTGCATGATGTTTAGATTCTAGGGTCCATTTCACAGGTTCAGGGGCTGTACGTCTTTAAAATAGAACTGGTGGTAGCAAGATGCTGTATATTTTTACACTATGATAGTGCAGAGTCTTGGAAAATGCTTACCTCAATAGATAGAATGAATCCAAATTTTGTTATGGGTTGGTTTTCATCGAGCAGAAAAATTAACACAGTAGACATCCAGATAGGATGCTTGTGTGCATAGGAGTCCCAGTCAACCTGAATCATCCAGAAACCTGTGCAGCAAAATGGCTTTCTGCAAACGTAATTAATGCAGATGCACATTCCCACAAGCAGCAGGATCATTTGTGCCAACGCAGATGTATCTGTTCCCATTAGTTGACTGAACACCAAAGAATTATATTTTCTTTTTGTCTGTGCAGGACATCTTATCCAGGCCATGCTACAACAAGTTCACTAGAAGCAAGTACTGATTTTCAAACCTTAAAAAGAATGTTTGCTGATTCAGAATATACAGTTTCTAGAAGCAAAAGCAAGCCAACAAAAGCACTTTTAAAAATCAGAATGTTTTTAATGTATAATAATTATTATAAGATTTACTTTTAAAAAATAATTTGCTTTCCATAACTGCACTGCACTAAAGCTGCTTCCTTACTGTCTTTCCATCGCCAGTTAAAAAGCCAAAAAGGCACCTGCAAAGTTAGAAACCCTGACCCTGTTTGACCCTGTCAAGTCACTTGTGTGTCTACAACCAGCAGAAGAACCAGCTTCAGTGTTTCATTCCAGAAGATCTTCTAAGGATAGGCCACCAAGCCCATGTTGTTTGTTACTTGACTCTGTGGGTGAATTTCAGACTCGTCATTCACTAAAACAGCCAATTTCTGCAAATGCACTACAGAACCAGACCCTACTGGGCTTGAGGGATGTGGTTTCCATCCAGATTTGTAATCTAGCATTTCTTTGCACAGGAAATGTGGGTGGCAGCATTGCATGATAGCTAGCTTCTGAAACCTTGCATGGTGTGCCTTCTGTATGCAATTCAATTGTGTTCTTAGATGCATCATGGCTTTGGCATGCAAAGCAACATGGATCTGCATGTACCCATGAGTGATTCCTGAACTTTGTGAAGCACAAGCCCAGCCAAATGTTCATCTAGATGCATCTTGCAGATACATGCACATTTCACATTGGATCATGTTTGCACGCTACATGCAATGCACATGATATCTCCCACGTCCCGGGAGAGAGAGAGAGAGAGCACAAGGCAAAATTGTATGCCTGCATGTCTAAAGCTTGGGCCAACATCCAACCTCCCCAGTATGCTGTGATGAGTCTTCTACCTCAAGGGAAGGAACTGAGTGGTGAACAATGGAGCTGATGAGAAGCAACGGATTGTCAATCAAGTAGTTCAGATCAATTTTTTTTCTCTCTTGCTTTTACTGACACTGCACTTCCTGTTCGGGAGATGTTAGAGATGATTTATCTAACTTCCTCTTGCCACAATCCTTTGCCAAGAGAAACTCCACACCTGCTATGCTTTTTCAGCATGGAAACGCACAACACAGAAACCAAACAAACCGTGCTGACTAATAGGCCCATGGTGCACCTGCGACTGGCTGAGGCATGCTGAAACTGCCTGCTGGCTGGCAATCGAACCAGAGGGGCACAGGCTGATAGGAATCCCCTCCAACACACAAAGTTCACTTTATGCACACAGGTGGTTTCATGCTCATTCATTGGCTATGGCTGTCTCTAGCAGAGTAGAGAACGTAACTGCCTTCTGGGTGGCTGAGGAGAAAAAGTTACCCCAGCCTATGTAGTTCACAGCTTGAGTGACCAGGGGAGCAGAACGGACAAAGAGCATTGCAGGCCACTGCAGGAAAAAGAGTCATTGTGCTCTATCGGATGGAGAGAGGGTGGGTGGGTGGATGGTGGTGGCAGCGGCAGCAATCCCTCTACTGCATGGTCATGAAAGGTAAGAGAGGGAGGGAAGGACACCTGAACAGCCTTCCTTTATTGGTGCCCGCTAGATGTTTAAAGTTTTGTACTCCCCACCATTAGGAATTCTCATGTTCCGGCACATTTGGAAAATACCAGGCTAGGTAAGGCTGCTCCACAGACTTCCTGAGAAATCAGAAAATGATTAATCAGTGGAAACTTAATATGCAACAGCAGAATTCGTAACAAAATACCCACCTACTTCAAAGAAAAGCAAGAAAGTCCAGTTGCCTCGTGAAAAAGCATCTTTGGGATACCCACCTATTCAGTTTCCCTCCAGAAGGCTGTTACAGGTGAACCTAGGGCATGTTTGTAGGATAGAGTAACTCTTAAGCCCAACTCCATGCAAATTCACTGAACTGGACCTTGGAATCCCTGTAGGCTGCAGAATATTCTGCAGACGTTCCAAAATCTACCTTGGGCAGAACAAAATGAGCACTAAACTGCTCCGCAGGTAACTCACCTGCTAATAGCGGTCTCCTCATTGGAGAAACACCTGATGGACCTCAGGAGCCCAGGGTTTCTACCAATGTTGTTTCAAAAGCACTGCATCAGAAAGCTGCAGGCCGCAAATGGTTGCCAATTGTAGCCATGGAAACACTATCACAGTTCTTGGGAAAAGGGAATGGCGGCCAGAGAATAGAAAATTCCGTGGCCCAATTCCAGGAGAACTGCACAAAGTGGCTTCTGAAAGCTATCATTGCATAGTGTGGTTGTGAGGAAATGGGATGGGGAGAGCAAAATGAAAAACACCTTTGCATAGTATGAATGGAGGAGAAGACTCTGAACAAAAACAAACACTGGAAAGGAGAATATGGCCTAATCCAAACGGAGATGGCCAGTGCCACTAATCGCTGCCAGGCACTGTGTAGATCTTAACATGATTGTACTGAGCCCAACGTCGCTTGGCTTAACTCCGTCTCTTGACCTCCATGCCCTTCCCTCTCCCTGGGTTGCCCTTTTGTACTTCTTCCTCTCCTTGGCCCATACAAACCCCCCAGAGGGCCCGGGACAGTCGCTCCTTACTGGGTACTAGCCAAGGCCCAGGGACCAAGTCTGACCGCAATTTCCTGCTAGGCCGGGGAGAAAGTAGCTTGTCACTCTCCCCATTCGTTCCCTGCTTATGAGGCCTCCAACCCTGTTCTCTGTCCTCCTCTTCCTCTCCCTGAGCTTTGCTGGAGGTCTGGTGCAATTGGCCAGACTGGTGGGGTTTGGGGAGCTGCTGCCTGATGTTGCAGAGCGCTGCCTCTCTGTCATCTCCATCGCCGAGGTTCTGTCCCACATTCTGGGGGACCAGGGACCGGTTTGGTTTCCTGTGCCGGTGCCTGGCTTTGTCCTCAGCCTCCAGCACCTGCTGCGTCTTGATGGAGCTCTGGCTGAACACACGATCTAGGAAAAAAACAGGAGACCAGTGAGTAGAACTAAACAGATTTGGTTTGAAGAAAGAGCGGATAGGACAGGCCTCAAAGAACCAACTGCTACTGCAAACTCTCTACTCTCTAAGTATTGGTTGATATTAGATTATAGTGACATTCTAGTCCAGACCAAATAAAAGTTGAACCGGGGTAGGCAGCTATTGGTAGAGAACTATTGGTAGGGTGAAGCCAGGGCAAAATCTGGACTTTACTAGATTCTTAGGTACCTCAGGATTACTTTTCTGGCAGAATATAGTTTATTGGCCGAACAGATAGACTCAAATGTTCAGTGGTTGGCAATCATATCTACTATTTACAAGTCTTGACTATTCAAGATGTTGCTAAGGAATACCCTTCCTCTGAACTTTCAGAAGGAACAACTGTTTCCTGGGCTATTCCAAGAGGCCATTTGCTCTCTGATTTCCAGAATACTTGTCTCTAGAAAACCCATAGGTTAATTCTGTCCGGATCGGAATTTGATCTTTGGAAATGATTTCCCTGGTCAATTTAAAGAGATTCATTCAACTATGATGGTGGGCAATATGTCAAAGGGCCCAAGAAGGATATGTCAAAGAATCGCAGCTGCCTTCTGGTCCTTGGCATGTCAGAAGGGCACTATCAATAACGTTCTACCAAATGTCTGCCTTGGGGAGCCAACACAGATCTCTTGTCAGATCATGTCTGCTTTAGATGGGTTGCAGAGAGATTTCTAGAAATTGAGGTTCTTAATGGGCATGGCACATTTTAGTGTGTGTGAGGAAATGTGATTATATTTCATAACATACTAATACATGGAAAATGAATTCCAAATAAACCAGTGAAAAAATTGAAAAGGAGGGCGTAATTACAAGCAATGATAGCTATGGGGCACAGTATAAAATACGGTATCAAACTTCTGCATTACAAAAAAAAAAACTTAATTGTTTCTATTGATCAATCTTTAATGCAGGGCCCTGTTGTCCTAGCTTCTTCAAATCCTATCCTTTATTTTTGAAGATGTTATCTACTATTTGCCCTAAACCTGGTAAATCTGATCTCCCCAATTCTAATGACTAGAAAGTTGCTTTAAAAGCAAGCAAACTCTAGAACTGATGGTAAATTTATTCTAAAAATTGATTTCGGCACAGAAACCTGGGCAATCATGTTTTTTTTTTTAACATCGCTAATCAGCATTGGAGCTTTTGTTGCTAACATAAAAAGCAGGTATTTTTAAAGCTCTGTCTGGAAAGAGGAGAAATAAGTTTAATCAGACTGCAATGCACTCTTCCAAATGAACTCCGCTGCCTAAAAATATCACATCTGTCTTCTCGAGTGGTTTATTGCTCTTTTTCTATTGCTATGCAGAATTTTAGAATACACAAGTGTTGGGAATAAGTTTCTTTGGGATATAGCTAAGGAAAGAAATCGGGGAGACTAAGGGCAGATATTAAATGGGGGAAGGGAATCAGGGGAATGAGGGCTGGCTTCAATAGGATCATCTTCCCCTACAGAAAGATATGGGCGCTCTCTTTATCACATACTAGTTTAGATGTGATTCCCTAGGAAACCAAGGAAGAGATGGGGAGTGGCGGAGTGGTAGGGTTGGTCCCACTGGGGGGGCTGGGCACCCACCATTTATGTTCGACCCGTCCCACGAGGCAGAAGCAGGGCTCCCCCCGGGGGGAGTTGGTCACGCAGAGAGCCAGGCTGGCCAGCAGCTGCCCTGTGGGGCGGAGACAGATAGAGACTTTGGGGGTGGGGGTGGGGGTGAGGAAGTGGCAGGAGAATCACAAGGCCAGCACAGATCAGGAAGGCAGGGGGGTGGTATGAAGCCAATCACAGACCAGAAAGGTTAAGATGAAGTTGGCACAGATTAGGTGGGAAGAGGGAATCAGACAGTATCATGTGCGGGTTAGGGTTAGTGCATGGAGGGTTGGACATACGAAGGGCGACGGGGCAGGAAAGAAAAAAAGAAGAGAAGAGAGGGGTGAATATTGAAGACCCAAAATCTGCTCCTGCAAAGGTCCTTCAAAGGAAAGAGGCAGCTAAAGAGGCTTTTGGGAGGGAGACACTAATTGCACAATCTGTTGCTCTAGATTGTAACTCCTCTCTTAAGTCAGATAGGCTAATGCCCTCTTCTCCCTCTGCTTATTTCTGGAGTAAGAATCACCAGAATATCCTGCCGTTCAATAAAGAATAAGGTCAAAAAAGGGACATTGTAGGTCAACCTCTCTAGACTGGAACCTACGCCTTTGTTGCATTAGCACAAAGGTGGGGAACGATGGCCCCTTTATGACTTGTGGACTTCAACTCAGGAATTCTGGAAATTGAAGTCCACAAGTCACAGAAGGGCCATAGTCCCCCCCAGCCCCTGCATTAGCAGGCTATTTAGCGCAAAGCAGATGATTTCTTATTTAAAGAAGGAAGGGAAGAGAGGAGGCGAGGCACGGACGTACCATAGTCAGGAATGAATCCATTGCCCCTCTTCAGCACCAGTCGTATTCGGCTCCCACCACTGCGGATATGTTCCACCGCCTGAGCATGCGTCATTCCTGCTGTGGACTCCCCGTTGATTTCCACCAGCTGGTCGCTCACCTGTCACAGTGTTTTAGCATGAAAAAGCCACCATCCCCACAAACGGATTGTGGGTGTGTGCCGAGTTTTTCCCAAAGCATCTCTATATATTTCCAAACTTTTAGTAACAAATGTTGAGAGCTACAGTAGAACAGGTAGTTGTCATTGCAACAGTGATGGGGAAAAAACAACAACTTTCAATCAATGCTCACATTTATGACCTTCACGGGTCTGTAAAGCAGTTTTAGGTCGTGCAGTTGCAGTTTCACTGCTGGACAACAGAGTTGCTAGTCCCGATTGTGGTCACTAAACAAGGACAACCTGTATATTTTTGTCAGATTCAGCGCTGGATATGAACTTCTTGTGTGTATTAAATATTCACAGTCGTATTTACAGAGAGCTCAGACTGTTTTGCTTATTGCAAAATTATTCTAGAATACATTGGGAAGGCAAGCATATTACCCTTGTATTTCAGATGGAAACTTGTGGAATAATTACCTCCTTAAAATTGCTAAGCGGTGATAAGGAAAGGTTGGAACTGGGTATGGCTGAGATAAGATTAGAAACTAACTCACAAATCACATTCTTAAGGTGAAACTTCACATTACACCATTAAATATACACATGGATTGTCCAGTGCTATCGTAAAAGAAGAGAATCTGATCAAGTGCTATCAATCATTTGATAGCTATGTGGGGGGCTATTAAGCTGTTACTTTTGAAGCTGCTGCTGTTGCTAGTAAGGGCACACGAGCCAGCTTTTGTATTTGGTTGGTGAATATTGTGTTAGAAGTAATAATGAAAAGTGACCAAATGTGAATTGAGTAAATGAAGGTTATATATTTGTTATGTATTTATTCAGTTCTAGGTACCCAGCAATATATATTCCATCTATTAAAAGAAAAGTATAAGTTTTTAAAAATCCAAATTAGCTTCAAGGACTTGCATGCTTTGGTATGATAAAGGATGTTATAGTGGTAATCCTCAAAAAAAAAAAAGAAGTTCTGCTTACGGTCCACATCAGAGATGGGAACTGCTATTTATTTATTTATTAAAATTTATAGACCGCTCCACTCCCGCAGGACTCTGGGCGGCTAACAATAAAAACACAATATAAATTAACAAAACAAACAATACAATAACATTCATCCAGGGGTCAGATTTTATAAACCCCAGGCCTGCCGGAAAAGCCAGGTCTTAAGCAGCTTGCGGAAAACCAACAGGGTGGGAGCGGTCCTAATCTCCGGGGGGAGCTGGTTCCAAGACGTGGGCGCCATCACAGAGAAAACCCTCCCCATGGCCCTGCCAAATGGCACTGCTTGGCCGACGGAACCTGAAGGAGGCCCAGCCTGTGGGATCTAACCGGACGAAGGGAACTATGAGGTAGTAGGCGGTCTCGCAAATAGCCTGGCCCTGAGCCATATAGAACTTTAAAGGTAATAACCCACACCTTGAATTGGACCCGGAGACCAATAGGCAACCAGTGCAGCTCACGGAGGATAGGTGTAACGTGGGTGTACCAAGGAACACCCACTATCACTCGCGTGGCTGCATTCTGGACCAACTGTAGTCTCCGAATACTTTTCAAGGGTAGCCCCATGTAGAGCGCGTTGCAGTAGTCCAGGCGTGAGGTGACAAGAGCATGAGTGACTGTAAGGAGAGCCTCCCCGTCCAGGTAGGGTTGCAACTGGTGCAACAGACGAACTTGTGCAAAGGTCCTCCCAGCCACAGCCATCAAATGATGTTCCAATTTCAGCTGTGGATCAAGGAGGACACCCAAGTTGCGAACCTGCTCCGAAGGGGGTATATTTTCCCCTGCTAGAGTCAACACTGGACAATTAACATGATACTTGGGAGGCAACATCCAAAGCCACTCGGTCTTGTCAGGATTGAGCCTGAGTCTGTTAACCCCCATCCAGACCCTCACGGCTTCAAGGCAACGGCCCATCACATCAGCCGCTTCACTGAGAGAGCTCGGGGAAGAGATATATAGCTGGGTATCATCAGCATACTGATGAAACCTCACCCCATGCTGTCTGATGATCTCACCCAGCGGCTGACATCCCTTTTTGTTTGAAGAAAATTGGGAAATATGCCGGTGTACAAGCACAGAGTTATATGGGTGCCTTAAACTGTTTCAGTGTTTTACATGCTAAGGAAGAACAAATGGGGTCTAAAGGAACTGAAGCTCAGATAAATGGTCTGAATTGGTGGACTCCTTGTTGTTAATCTGAGCTTGGTTGTTTGGGTTGAATGAATATGGCTAAAATAGCTGGCTATGTTACGAGTGTCTTTTGGAAGAATGGAGAAAAGGAAAATGGAAGGAGGAGAGGAAAAAAAGAATTTTATTGCATGATGCCATACAATTTATAGTAGCCTTCCTCAATTTTGGCACCCTCCAGATGTGTGAACTTCAACTGCCAGAATGATCTGTAATGGCTCATCTGGATGGAAAATTCTGGGAATTTTTTTTTCTTTTGACAAATGATGGGCACCAGGGAAAACTCATGTATAATAACTTACATTATTAGAGCTAGATACTATACATATGTTCCCTTGCCAGGTAATATAAACTGGAAGGCTATCTGCTCTGCTTTATCCAGCCTATGTTCTAGAATGCTAGATTGTACAACAGCTAAAGTTTCGGGGATGTGTGAGCGAGAAAGTCATTTTTGTCTGCAAGTCTTAATAAGTTTTCTAAACCAATTCACATCTGCCTGGCCTCAGCAACTTTGCATTGGTGCTCATTTCCTGAGAACATCACATACCTGAATCTTGCCACATTGCTGGGCTGGCCCACCTTCCATAAGAGCTAAGACGTAGATGTCCATATTATATTCACTTCCGCCCCTTAGACTGAATCCGAAGCCACTGGGCCCTCGTAGCAGTTCCACGGAATATTGGCCAGACTCCTGTGGAGCAGGGAGAGATCACAATCCAGAGAAGACGGCTGAGCCAATGTCCTTTCTTAAAACAACAGCAACCACAGAAAAACTATGTAAATAAGAAAACTATTTTAGGGGCCAAACTATCTCTTGCAATGGAAACCACTGAAGTATCCTGTAATCTGTACATTCACAAGAAACATTCAATACATAGGTAATGACACATTGTCTGTACTCAAGAAAAAATCATGGAGGTACCAGTAGTTACATCTTTCAAAATAAAAAAAAATGTTTCTAAAGTTATTGCTGTACTGAAAATAGGCTAGAACAGACATGTCAACCTCACAACATCAGGTGACATCGCGCAACGTATCAGGAGAGTTTTGCCATTGCCAGCATTCTGGGGAATTCTGGGAGTTGAAGTCTATTCATCTTAAAGATGCTGAGAAACACTAGGCTAGAACCCACCTCACAGATATTGTATCTCATCTGATTATTCCCAGCAGGATTGTGAGAACTGAATATAGTGAAAAATACAATTTGGTGTGCTTTAAAATGGAAAAGAATGTCATCTGTGGCAACAGCATTATGTTTTCATTTTACCAATTTGTTGTTTTAAAAATACCTGCCTCGACCTTAAAAGATTCTAGATTGGTTGAGGTGCACTCTCAATAATCATTTAATACTGGAGTCATATGTGAACAATACTAAGGCATCTGAGCTGGATCACAATTGAACACAAATGACTATGAGTTCCTTCACTATGAATAAGATCTGATCGGAATTAAAGGATAACAACTTTAATACCCTTTATTAAATCACACCCATTGGCTTTTCTGCCTCATGCAACACAAAAGGAAAACAATATTCAACCAATGTAACGAGGAAGTGATTGAGCTCTAAAGACACATTCTGGTCCACCGCAAATAAAGGGACAAGCATTCCTTACAATTAACTAGGGACCACAAAGGCCAACCAGGGGAATAAATTGTGTTTGACTGATTACAGAGTTTGCAGAGCCATTCCCAACCTCCTGTTGCCTGACCAGCAGCAGCTAGCAAGCCTCCATGTCTGTCTGTCTATAAGTCATCTTAGCCTTCCCCAGTGTATACTTTCAGATGAATTGGGAATATCCAAACTTCCAGGAATAGTGGATTCCAAACATTTGAAAGGAATCAAGCTGGGGAAAGCTGAGCCAGAAATTTGGATTTCTCATTTAAAAATGTAATAGATTCCTAGAAACAAACTGAGTTAAAAAATCCAAGTGTCTACACAGTGTCTTGGACTCAATGGAACATGCTAAATGTGTAAAACAGGTTGTTAGATTTTTAGCCCAACTAACAGAAAACATTTATGGTGCTTCCATTAGATTCTTAAGTTTTAATGAATCTTTAGAAGAAATCTATGCTAGTTCAGTGGCATTTAACAACTCTCTTCATGGTCATCCGCAGAGGAAGATAGTGGTTGTGCAGCTCAAGGCCTGCCCCTCTTCATGCAAAACACAGGTGTGGATTGGATACAAAGAGATGAGGTCATCACCTTGACTTTGGATACCTCCTCTTACACCTTTTTTTAGCGCCCCCTCTTTTGATGTCCTGCATCTCTTTGTGTTCACTTGCTATTCTACTTTTTTAAGAACAACATAGAATTATTACTTCCTACTACAAGAGGAACACATGCTCCAACACCTTGATCAATCCACTCTGCTATTTTCCCTCACACCTACTCTACTGTTCCCTCTCTGAAGAAATACAGGTACCATCCAACTCATCTACCAGGTTGACCTGTCATCTCTTCTGAATCTCCTGACTGGCTGGCAGATGGGCATCTTGTTCTACCCCTTCTCTCAGATGGTGGCAGTCATTGGCCATGGAGGAAGAGGTGGGCCTGTGGCACGAAGAGAGCTAATAATAATAATAAAGTTGGAAAGGACTTTGGAGGTTATCTAGTCCAACCCCCTGCTCAGGCAGGAAATCCTGTATCATTTCGGACAAATGGCTGTCCAGTTTCTTCTTAAAAACTTCCAGTGTTGGAGCATTCACTGCTTTTGGAGGCAGGTTGTTCCACTGGTTAATTGTTCTAACTGTCAGGAAGTTTTTCCTTCCTGAGGTGGAAAGGCCAGTATGGGCAGGACCAGCACGATGCAGGAGAAATGAAGCAAGTCCCAAGACAGGCAGCCTGCAGAAGAACCCTTCCAGGTACCTCTAACTCAGTCTCACCTCTATTTTCCTCAGAAGAGTCTAGTAGCACCTTTTCTGACTGGCCAATTTTATTAAAGGGCATGAACTTTCATGAACCGCAGCTCCCTTGCTCAGATGCTGTCCTCCTAAGTTGTGGGGCAAATAAAAGTGTCAGCCTCAGAAGCACTTATAGTGGAGAAAACATGTTTTTTGCAAATGGTAATGAAGAGAGCTTACGAAACCTCACGCCCTTTAATGTATTGTCTTACTCCACAGAAGATGCTAGCAGACTCCTCCTACAATCCCTATTTTCCTCCTGCCCTTTGCCAATTTAACATGCCAAACTTCCTTGGCCACACCCTCATCACCATGCTGGGTTCTGGCTCTCTGATACCTGAGGCTGAGTGAGGTGAGAGCTGGGACTCCATGGACATTCCCCCACTTCAATATCAGCAGAGTTTAAATCACTGGAAACTCCTAGAAGCAAACGGACAGAATCAGTTTGGGGAAAGGATTATTTACTACCCCATGTTTCCTTTTGTCTTTACTGCAGCCCATCACCTCCACCTGCACCATTATTCCACCTCCTCTTCCTCCTTCCTCGGGCCTCGATTTCCACTTCCACATCTGGTGTCCCCTTTCCACATCTGGTGTCTCCTTTCCCCCAATTCTTCCCCTATTTCTCCCTGTGATCACTCACCTGCCTCCTTGCGATTCCGGATTTTCATGCGCACTCGGGTCCCCGCCTGCCGGAAGACACTCCCAACCTCACTATGGGTCAGCCGGGCTAAGAGACCGGTGTCTTCCTGATGAGAGGAACTCTCTTTGTGATGGGGCCCCAGGGAACTGGCTGAGAGGAAAGAGTAGATGGATCAGTAAATGAGGAGGGCAACCACCCAGATATTTTGTTTCCAAATGTCAATAAATGTCGCACGTTCATTGGAGGGTGATCAAGAGGAAACTAGATGTTAACATTTATCTACAATGCTTTTAGTCGTGGTTTTTTTTTTCTTTTGTAATTTTAAACAACAAATACTGAAGATTTGGGCCCTTATCCCAGACATTTAAAGTCTTACAATGTTAAATAAAACTGTTTAATGTACTTATAGACAACTTAATATTTTCTAGGATTAATTTCTAATCAAAGATACACTGAGCACTGACTGTACAATCATGCTAATTCCTCTGACCACTTAGAGATACTTCTGTTTAATTTTTTTCTTTTTGCTTGTTTGTTCCCTTTTTTCTTTTAAAGCCATTAATACATTAAAAAAAACAGAAATTAGGGAAGATGAAGGAAAACCTTGCTAAATTTTTTAAAACAGTCGACCATTTCAGATCTGGAACAGTACTGTAGTCAATTCAATGATACTTTTATTCATTTGTATAGATGTACTGCCGCTGCTGTGTGTGTTCCTATATCACATGACAATGCAAAGTTCTATCCTAGTGATGGTGAACCTTTTAGAGACCGAGTACCCAAACTGCAACCCAAAACCCACTTATGCATCGTCGGGTGCTGGGTGGGCATGGCCCATTGGGTGGGTGTGGCCCAAGGGTGGGCATGGCTGCGATGGTAACAGCAGACTGGGTGGAACTAAAATGTTCAATCAATCAATTCCAACTTTGCAAGATCTTTTTTTTTTCCATGAGAAGTTGAAATTGACTGATTGTTTGAACCTTTTTGTTTTGTACACGGCGGCAGAGGCCTAAAGCGCAAAGATGTTTATAAAACCCAGCTGAAGGCCTAGGACTGGAGTGATGGTGCGCGTGCCCACAGAGAGGGCTCTGAGTGCCGCCTCTGGCACCCGTGCCATAGGTTCGCCACCACTGTTCTATCCCATCACTAAAAAGAATAAACATATTTGCAAAGTGAGGATCTGGTGAGAACTTTCTTCATGAAACTGTATGACCTGAGTTTGCTAGATTGAAAGCATGGAAGGAAATTCCCTGCAGAAATTTCTGAGAAGCAGGAATGTTATCAGATTCTGAAACAAGAGCTCAGATCTAGCCAGGGGAATCTAAATACAGGTAACCCATGGCTTACAAACATTTGTTTCCTGACTGAAAAAAGTGACTTATGACCATTTTTCATACTTACAACTGTTGCAGTATCCCCACAGTCACATGATCAAAACTCAGATGCTTGGCAACTGGCATGTCTTTCCTGAGGTCATGTGATCCCCTTGATTGACAAGCAAAGTCAATGGGGAAACCACATTCACTTAATAACTGGGATACTAATTTAACAACTTCAGTGATTCAATTAACAGTGGCAAAATGGGGGCAAAACTCACTTAACAACTGTTTTGCCTGTTATCTAAGTAATTTGGTCTGGTTTATGTAAACAAGTTAATTTTATTTGGCTTCTCCCTGAGCAGTACTATGCTGGGTTCTGATATTTAGCCTACACCTCAGCTCTAGGCAATGTGAGCATCACATCTCCTACACCTCTTCTACTAATTGTAAACTGCAGTCTGGAGTAAAAAGCACCTTTATGAGGCTGCAAAATTGCTTTCAGTCCCCTTCTAATTAATTGCGGATTCAGGGGTGGAAACAAGGAATAAGAAGGAGTCACGTCAGCAGATGTACATTATCTGTACATTTGCAGGTTATGCTTTGTTTTTGTTTTTGCTTTAAATCAGCCTGCACAAACCAAGATGCTCCTCAATCCATCTATTTGGGATCCTGGCCTAATCCCATGCTGCCATGTTCCTATGCTCAGATATAATTTCACAAGTATTCTCTGCCCTGACAACATCTCATGCTATCTTGACATTCTGCTTTCCGTGGTCAAGGAAAAGACTAAATAATGCCACTATGGCCTGTGGTTTTTTTTTTTTTAAAAAAACAAACCCAAAAACCTTCCTTCCAGATATATTAAAAACAACAGCTACTCTTGAAAGGGGAATAAGTATATCTAAAATGTAATTCCTTGTACCATATAATGAGGGAATTAGGTACCTGCATACGTGTCAAAGTTTACCTGCCCAAATCTGAATATTTAACTTCACTAGGGTATTAGATGGGAGATTTCCACATCCACATATTGCTGCTTAAATTTGCTGACAAGAAGATCCCCTTAATTTCTGTATTTTCACGCACTCTCCTTAGCTCACAGTAGCCTCGGAACATGAGATCCTCCAGAGCTGTGTAAGAAGTTTTATATCCAAATATATTTCATTCTTTATACTGTTCCCATCTTCCCTTAAAACATTAACAGAATCCACAACAGTCTGAGAATCAGAGTCTCCACTAGATAATTGACAGTCAAGCTGAAACTAAATTAATCAAGTAAAAATAGCAGAGGGAAAATCCCTTACCCAAACTTCCCAAATAATTTACCCAGAGCTAATCAAAGGATAAGGTCTGGAAACCTTATTTAAGTCTCCCAGTGGAACTGCATGTTCACAAGCATACACAACACACACGCCCCTCAACTCTAACTCTAAAATCAGCACGTAGTAGACACTTCCACATCCTGGACTAGCTCCTCTTATAAAAGTCTGCCACTGTATCCCATTTCTCTGCAGTTGCTTTTAGGAATAAATATTTCCTCATAGATGTCTGGATCTCATTTTTATTTATTCTTGCGCAACCCCGCCTTGAGTTGGACCCCCAAATTATTCTTCTGACAGTGGTGGGGGTGCTTCCTCTAACCAATTTGTCTAGAATGTTCCTAAGCCTTACTGCAAAAAAAAAAAAAAAAAAAAAAAAGAATTATGGTTGAATTCAACCTACAATTTATAAAATAAGATTGGCTTCATGATCAAAAGATAAGAAGAAAAACTGCAGCCCACCAGTTTCCCAAAAGATTTAAGGATTGTTCCAGATGATACTTCCCCCCCCCCATTTATGTTTTTTTTTTAACAAAAGATTTATATTGTCATGTCCTCTTTTTTTGCAAAGGCTCCATCTTTTCTCATTTGCATCATTTTTCTTGCAGAATTCCTTACTATCTTTTGATCAATAAGCTTAAGAGGTCTCCACCTGAAAATCTATCCAGTCTTACCTGGGAAAAAAATGCCTAGCCCTCTTGCAGAAACACTGTTGTTCCTCAGATGGGACCCTCAAACAACTTTATACTTTGCCCCCCACAACATGCATCAGGGTGAAAAGACATCAAGCTGCAGAAACTGATTTGTTGATTCACCTGAATCTCAGAATCTACCAGCCAAAAGCAAAGGTAAAAAAAAAAAAAAAATCTGAAATGAAACACTTAAAGAGAATGTGAGGCACGCATGAGAGGGAGAGGCAATCAGGTGCACTTGCATTCTTACTTATTTTCAAATTCAGAACTAAGCTCAATTTTTTAAAAATAAAAATCAGTTCCAGGTTTTCTTTTGGGGGGCATTTATTTGGGGGTCTGCAGTGGAGTAAAAGTATACCTGCTATTGCCGATATTTGCCCAATTGTCCAGCAATATGCCCCACATTCCAATGAATGTTCTTTTCTGCTCCTCATTTACAGCTCAATACCCTCTGATCTTACAAAAGATCTTCACCTTCCTAACATCTTCAGTGCATCCGAACTTTCAAAAACAAGCTGAATGATTTCTACGCTAATAAAATGCCTTTCTGATCATCGATAGTAAACAACCCCACAAGGATTTCTGAACAATATGCAGCTACCGGGGAAACTTGTAAGAGTCCGCTTGAACTTCTCCGCTCCTCCTTCAGTTTTAGTCTTAAGTCAGCGGGACTCCCTTCTGGGGAAAGAGAAAATTTACTTTTCTATTACCCCTTTCTTTCTCTCCCTCCCCCCAAATCAACTGCAAACAAAATGGTAGGCAGTGGATATTTACGTTTAAAGTCCTGGATGTGGCGTAGGACGGTCTGAACTTGCTCAAACATTTTCAGGTAGAGAGAGTGCCGAAACAATCAGGGAAGAAGTTAAAACAGAGAGCTGGGGGGGGGGGGTGTGTCGTCTCTCCCAGCTACTCCTGTTTGCTCTCTGTTCTTCTCTGACCCCCCTCTCAGGAATTTTTCCCTTTGCCTGATAAACCAAGGACTTTCAGGGGAGGGAACGGAGTGGCTGACGCTTAACCTGTTCAGAACCAGGAGGAACAAGTTGCTCTATGCGTGTGGGTGTGTATGTTTAAAAGACAGTGCTTGGTTATTTTACTCTCACATGGAAACATAATTAAGGCTTGTAATTCTTTAAACACAATGTGAGAGACAGGTGCTTTCTCAAATATCAGAAATCAATTGCACTTGCTTTCCCATTCTATTATTCAATCAAAAAACCCAAGGAGATTGTTTACAAAATTACATTGACTTCACCCTTGTTTCACCACTATGCTGGGTTGCTTCTTAGGATTTTTTTAATTCTCTTTCCTGCCTTCAATACAGGCACGCACACGATTTAGAGAAATGTACATTTTACCAGGCCACGAAGAAAGGAAATAGATTTCCCCAACTTAAACTCAAAAATCCACGTGATACTTCAAAATTAATATATTTATTACTGCATGTCCTCACGAACTTGAATCCTATAATCATACATGTGCAATTTTTAAAATGTCAGATGACTGGTGTTTTTGTAGCAACTTAGCTATTCTTCTTAAAACTGAACAATGACTAGTATAGATACATTGAAAGATGTCAGCTGGAGATGCTGGATGTGACAGAGATTGACAGCCTTAGGGTTCTTTTTTTAAGGTATTATTCTGAAAATGAAAAATATGACATGGCATTTTTGATTGCTTTTTGCAAACTTGTGGAGGTTCTGCAGAACTATGCAATGGGAATAAACTATAATAATCATACCAGATTCTGAATCAAAAGCCCTCTTTTATTTAAATACAGAATTTATCAAGGTGAAATCTATCACCAGAATATTTTCCATCACCCAAAGAGAATCTTTGTGATTTGAAGATTATGGTCTTTCCAGCCTCTAATTTGTCCTCAACAACTTTATTGCTTAACTAATTTCAGCTTTTCTGATATCAAGATGGTTGCATTTTTCCTTACTTCTGTTTTCCTCTGAGCTAGCATCCCCTCCCCCTGTATTCTAAAGTAAAAGATTCTAGCTTATTTGGGGAAAATGTGTGTGTTAAATCATTTTTTGCCTCAGCATGCCAGATATAATCTGATACTACCTATTAGTAAGAAATACATTCAATGTACAAAGTCTTCACAATTTTAAAATAGATCTGATGACCACATTTGACCTAATTCCTTTTCTTCCTCTATTCTTTGCTTTTTGTATTATCTGTACTTTTTTGGGATTCCAGATAACCCAGAAACTTGCACTCTTTTGTAACATTACCTAATGTATGTGGAGATTCTCAGTCATCCAGATCATGGCTGTCCCAAAGGTGCTTTTTCAAGAGGCAACTGGACTTTCTTGTTTTTCTTTGAACACGTTTTACTTCAGCTCTGACTGGATGGTGGATTGGATCCCCACCATCCAGTTAGAGCTGAAGAAGCTTCTTGGATGAGAAGCAAAACGTCTTCAGATAAAAACAAGAAAATCCAGTTGCCTCTTAAAAAAGCGCCTTTGGGATTACCTAATGTAAGAATTGTGCGATTGTCTATTTTGTATTGTCTTTAAGTGCCAGCTCGTTTGTTTTCATTTCTAAGGCAGTTGCATCAGCGACAGCAATGAGCTACATACAAAGGTATGTTTTGCAAATATTTGGAACTGATTCAAAGAGCAGGAGTACAACATTTGGAATTTTGGCAAGACCTGGGTGCAGACTATTCACAATATTTTCCATCCTCCTTACCAGCTCTTTCAGCTACAACTCCATCGGTTGTTAGTGCAATGCTACATCCATGCTGTTCTTTCGGACCATCCACATTTCTGGGTTCCCCAGCCCCTCCTGCTGGGCGAGGCCTCCTCAGCCTCTGGGAACAACGAGCAGGACACACAAGTACATTTCGAGGTTCAGGACCCACAAAACTGGTCACAGTCAATGTGTCACCTGGGGGACCTCCCCACGGGTTAGAAAGATCCTGAGGACCACTTTTATTATGAGTGGAGTTGGGCAAGAAATGTTCTCGTCTAACCGAGCAGTTTTCCTGAGGATGTCTATGGGAGTGGTGACCTGTAAGATCAAGAAGGGCAAAGGGAAAATTCCATTAGGGGGATTGCCAACTGCAGAACCAAATGACATAATTAATACTCTCAGCAGCGATTGAAGTGTTCGGCCACACCTCAACCTTGGTATACTTTATATCTGTTTTTTATGTCTCCCAGTTCAGGTTCTGAGTCTTCAACCCAGTATGGTCTACTGCTTAAATCACTGGACTGAGACTATGACAAGTCAGTTTCAAATTTCCACTCAGTCATGAAGCCCACTGAGTGACTATGGACAAGCCCAACTTACTCCATGTGATTGAGGTGAAGATAAAACTGGAAGAGGGGGTATTATGTGTGTCCTCTGAAGTGCTGGAGGAACAGCTGAACACAAACACAGCAAATCACTAAAAGTTTCACTTTTTGAGTCAATACTTGACTCCAGCTAGAGGGTACGATTATAAATCAGTTTCATAGATCTTTGCAAATTAAAACCATCCCTCAAAATAGTATTTGCTAAACTTAGCTTTCAGTTTGAAAGAAACAGATTTTTTCCTCCCATTAATTGATATAAATTTGCACCAGCCAAATCGTGACAAAAATCTGCTTTATGCCACTAATATTATGCCTTTCTTGAACAGAGCATAAGGTGAAATGTGTGTCTTCCATCTGGATGCTGTCTGGGATCCGCTTCTATTTAGCGATGCTGCTGTCTTCTGCATATAAATACATATTTATTTGTTTGTTGGTTTTATTTTGAATTGTATTTTTAACTTTTTTGGTTATATTGTGAGCTGCTCAGAGTCATTTTGACTCTGGAAGTGCCTAAACTGAATAAATTTAAGTTATGTGAATTGGGCCCCATTATACAGCAATCTTTTCTAGTCTCTAGTCTCAGAGTTAACAGTAAATTTTTACAGTATCTAGAAGCCAACACAAAATTGGATGCGGTAATCTGGATGAATTTTACACATAGCAGTTAACATCGACCACAGGCTGATTCAGTTCATGAAACTAAATCTATTCTTTCCTGAAGCTTACACATTTTCCTAGCTGTCCATTCATGCAGCATTACATTTTCCAGGTCTGGTCAAACTATGATTATTAACTTTTATTTGTGGAAGCAAGCTAAAGGAGGCTGTTTTCTGTACAGAAAAATCAGTTTTCAGAATAAATAACTATTACTGTTAACTTGTAATTCACTATAACAGAGTTTTGGTAACCACTATTCCCTGCAACTGTCTTGGCAAGGATTTTCAGAAGTGGTTGCCCTTACGTACTTCCTAGGATTGAGAAGATGTTACTGGCCCAAAATCACCCAGCTGGCTTCATGCCCAAAGCAGAATTCATGGTTTTCAGCCTGGTGACTAAACACTATATCAATCTGGTTCTCTAACCACATTTAAGGATCAGACAACTCCTTGAACTAAGGTTTAGATAGAAGCACCTACATCTGGTTTGCCTCCACACAGGGCTACAGCTGAAATAGCAGAACGATTCTGCTGTCCCCCAAAAATGACATGGATATATCCCTAAATTCTGCAGAAGTTAAGCTCATCTTGAATACCTTACTTTTTAATTCCAAATAGAAACTTCTGATTTCCTCCTTGTGATTTCAAAAGAGAAGAAAAACATGAATATCTCTGGAGTCTACAGTTAGCTTTTGAAATGTGGAAAACCACGATTTGATATTAAATAAGAATATAGGTAGTCCTCAACTTATAATCATTTGTTTTAATGACCGGTCAAAGTTAAACAGCACTGAAATAAGTGACTCATGACTGTTTTTCACACACACCATTGCAGCATCCCTGAAGTCATGTGATTTGGACGCTTGTCAACTAGCTCATATTTATGATGGATGCAGTGTCCTGGGGTCCTGCAATCACGTTTTGTGATCTTCTGACAAGTAAAGTCAGTGAAGAAGCCAGATTCACGTTACAAAGGGTGTTATTAACAACTGCAGTGATTCACTTAAAAATTGTGCCATGATAGGTCATAAAATGGGGCAAAATTCTTGCTTAGAAATAGAAATGTTGGGCTCAGTTGAGGTAAGTTGAGGATTACCTATATATATGTCTCTTCCCTCCCTGATACAGCTGACAAAGTGAGAAAGAGCCTGTGGCCTAGAGGTTAATACAGCTGCCTAACATGCACACAGCCCAGGTTCGAATCTCCGAATCTCTTCTGTCTGGCTGAAGAGAGTTAAGAAGCTCGAAATAGCTATTCCAGTTCTCCCTTTATTCTTTGTTGGCAATCTAAAATGTATATATATATATATATATATATATATATATATATATATATATATATATATATATATATATATGATATATAAAAGCATTTAGTTAACTGTATACTAACATCATTATGTAATCCAGCCTTTTCTAATTTGGTGAACATCAGATGCAATACAGCTAGTCCTCATTTAGCAGCCTCAGTTGGGACTGGCAACTTAGCAACTCTAAGAGGAAAATCATGTGACCATAAGTGGGCTTATGACTTTAATTCATTTTTTTCATTAAGTGAAATAATACAGTCCCTAATTGAAGAATCATTTGACTGTGATTTACGCTTTTATTTCTACCTTCTGTATTAAGTCTGCTTGTTGCAAGCTGGTTGCAAAGTATGCAAATGGTCAGACATGTCAAACTCGCAACGTCACGTGACATCGTGCAACATATCGGGCCGGTTTTGCCATTGTCGGCAATGGGGTGGGCGCGGCTTCAGTATGATGAAACCCGCCTGCAGGCCGGCAGTTTGACACCCCTGCACATGGTGATCAGTGATTGAGGGATGTTGCGAAAGTCATACATATAGGGATTGGTTGCAATTTTTTCCCCCCAACATTGTTACTGGTGCACAAGGCAGTTGGTAAGCAAGAACTGCTTGTACAACTACCCAAATTTCCAGGTTGGGGAAGCTGGCTAAACAATGAAGACAATCCCCTTTGAACAGGTGAAACAAAAACCATGCACACATATTCCAACAGACAGACTGTTAAAATTCAAATGCTGATAGATTGGGAAAGAGGAGGTCATGGAGAAGAATCAAAATCAGTATTGCACAATCTGAAATTTCATTTTTTTAAAAATACAATTTTTGCCCAAAAGTTTTTCGTTGCCTTCTACAATCTTCCCTCAAAAGAATCCCATAACTGGGCCACTGTCCCGTTTTCTCAGAGTATCTTTTTCTCACTCCATGAAGACAGTACTATTTATTACAACTCACTTGTGGAATGAAGTGGCATGAGTGTCACAGGCAAGCCATTTACCTATTTTCAACATTTATACCCCAGTTAGAAGGCACATCCAGCATATAAGCATTTACAATAAAATAGGGCAGCTTCTGATCAGAACCGGATCTGTTGAATATTGTGTGTGGATGACAGCTGTGTTGAGCAATATAAATGCTTCTTTGCAATATGGTACTCTTGTTTCCAGGTTTCTTCTGCTGTAATAATGGGGTGAGCATAAGGAAAGCAGCATTAATGTGTTGAAATGGGTGTCTAAGTCTTAAATGCATTATGGCTACTCTAAGTTCATTTGAGTGCTAGTTTGGTGTAGTGGCTTAGGCATTAGACTAGAAACTGGGAAATCATGAGTTCTAGTTCTTCCTTAAGTATGAAGCCAGTTGAGTGACTTGAGTCAGTCATTTTCTCTCTCTCAGCCCTAAGAAGAAAGCAAGGGCAAACAACTTCTGAAAAACCTTGCTATGAAAAATGCCAAAAATGGAATGGAATAATCCACGTAGTTGAGTCAACACTGACTCAAAGGCACCCGAACCCCACACCAAATCATTTAGAGTTGCATCCCCTACAAACAACAATGGGACTGAATTTGAACCCGGGAAGATTAGCCCCATCATTGGGTAAGTGAAGCAAGCATTTCAAGCAGCAGATACTGAAGATGTTTCTAAGCTCTTTCTTCATTTCCCAAGGACCATGTGTACACCTTTTAACCTCCTACACAGTTCTCAGGTGTGGTGGTGGGCCATTGCCAGTGTTGAAGTTAGAGTCAGCAGGTTTCTGCATATGGGATGGAAGAAGGCAGCCTCTCAAGCTTGGCCTTAGCATCAAACTGTCTTGGGATGGCCTTGGATACATGAATCTTTCTGGTGCCTCCCGATGTAAGAATGCAATGTGAATTACAAGAGATATGCATTCTTCAATAACCAGAACTATGCACCCTATTAGGCCTCAGCAATCCAATATATATAAATGGATGTTTTAAGGAATGTGTCTACCCTACATGCATCATTTTTTGTAAGAAACACTGTTGTATCTGTACTAAGTGTGTAGTGTTATTGCTCTTATAAAAACTGTGGCTAAAGCAAGATTTTGACGGAGGTGTGGTTAAGATCAGATTCCAATTGTGACTAAAGTGAGATATGAGGACATTGTTATTAGTAATAATGGCACCATGCTACAGCCATTTTGCAAACTGTTTGTATTAGTAACTTACATATAAATGTGAATTCCTTGTCTGAGAATTATATAGTGCTTCTTCTCTGGCAGAGAACTTGAACTCTGGTCCTTTGTCACACACACACACCGACCCCCCCCCCCAAGCAGTGATCAGAGCTCTCCCTCCTGATTGCTTCCAGCTGTCAGGATCATCCTAAGCATAAAGGCAAGTGGAGCAAAATGCCAGTCCAGCCCGGCAGAGCTAAGCAAGTGACTTGGGGAGAAAGCCACACAGCCCACTCTTGGAGCTGATGTCGCTCACCTTTCCTTTCCACCAGAAGGATCACATCTCCCGTTCGCATACGCTCCTGCAACACACTCTCCACTTCTCCAGGGCTCAGATCTCGGACGTCAGCCCCATTCACCTTGGCGATGACATCTCCTTCTTCCAGCAAAGGGCATCGCTGCCGGTCCCAGATCTTCACAACCCGAGCCCCTCGCCTGCCTCCACTGAGGGATCCTACTCCAAACCAGGGCCCAGAAGGGCTGCAGGGCAAGGGCACAGGGGTAAGGCGGCTGCAGGGTGGCGCCCGATGGAGATGCCGCTCGGCATGTTCCTCTTCATCGCCCAGGCAGGCTTTGGTGCAACAGCGGACGCTGAGTCCACGGGTCCTGCGTGATGGGGCCGGTCCAGCTTCTTGGCCACAAGCTGGGCCTCTGGGAATAATGGGACTGGGGGGTATAGCACCGTAAGTTGGTGGAGGGCGTCGGGTCAAGAGAGGCTGCCCATCAGAAAGGCAGGAACAAGGTGACTGACGATGGGTATATTGGAGGATACAGTTCCCGTCAACTACTACTACGACATTCACTGCAAGGTGGAAGGAAAACAAAGAGAGCTCTCTTGGTCTATGCACGACAGGCAACAACACAGCATCCTTTGGCCAAAGGGACGGCAAACTGGGCTCCTCCAGCTGTTTGGAACCACAGTTCACCCAAGATCTTGCCACTGGCCATGCTGGCAAGGGCTGATGGAGTGGACATCTAACCTCCACATGATATTCAGTTGCTTAATTCTGCTTTAAGTCAAGGTGAGGGCTGAATCAAAGCTAAATATCTCACCCCAATTTTTACCTCAGATATTTTCCAGTCAAAATCATTTGTCAAAGGCAGAGCCAGTACAGGACAGTACCTGAACTATGTTATGTAATAGATTTAATAACCGACATGTAACCATTTCTAATTTTCCATATTTAATAGCTTATAAGCAATGAGACTTAGTATTTGATGAAGCAAGTACTTAATTGGTGGTATAACATAGCATTTAGTATTTGAAAGTATTTTACAGTGATATGAAATTTCATATAGGTTTATGGTTGAGTAGCTTTAGTAATCCAGTGCAGAACTGGTTGAAGTGGGGTATACATGTGAAAATAAATAAATAAGCAAATGCTTGCTAAAACACAAGATACTAAAACAGTTCAACTCCGAGGCAAAATGTCATATTCACATTCACATTTAAATGGGCAAAATAGGAAATTTCGATGAATTTCAAGTATCCAGATCAGCTTGAGCCAAGATTAGTCACTGCTAGGGAATGCAAGGCTATAAAATGATTACAAACTAGCCATTCATCTGCTTGAGTTTGAAAAGGGTAATCCTGTCCACTTCAGCTCAAATATAAGCCTCAGTGAATTCAGTTGGGCTTCCCCTGCTCAAGTTTATTTATTTAGCGTATGGCATCTATAGAGGTCAGGCAATCACTGATATACAAATGTAGTTTAAATAAAGCATCAGAATATATGTGTGTGCATCTGTAAGTTATGTGGACAAAACAATGTAGAAGATAATATATTAACTAGGATAATATATTAAACTAAGATAAAACCATAATAAAATCACCATAATATGGAGTCATAGAATTGCAATGGGGTAGATGTTATAATTCGATATCTGAGGCAGCTAACCATCTAATTGCTTCTGGTGTGGTTGGGTGAGATCATCCCAGGTGCCGTGAAATTTCCTGAGGGGACATTCCCTCACAAGTAAATAACAGGCATAAGATTGCAACCTATATTTAATATCAGATCTGGATCTGAAAAATGTCTTTTGCTCCAACTGTCTTAAGTCAGTTCCTCCTTTTCTCAGGAGTACCAGAGAAGACTGTAATTAAGGCTGAGAAGATGGATGGGATGGCTGTCACAGAGGCGAGTCATGAAAAGTACGTCTCTCAAGAGTTATATTTCTTTAGGGACTACATGTTGGCAATAGGCAGAAATAAATCCATGCTTATATGGTGGGCACATATAAGCATGAATAGGACATCCTTTCTCTCTTTTTGTCTCCTGATCTAACACGTTTTGTTGCCTAAAAAGAAAGAGATTAGGTCCCTCAACTATCCACACCAAGGTACAGAATTCTAAGCCCACCATGTTATTTTAGTATTGTACATTAGGCAGAAAATCCTACAGGAAAACCCTATCTCTGGGAAGTAAAAATATATTGACAACAAAAGCAATCAGGTAGTCCTCGACTTATGTCCCTAATTGAGCCCAAAATTATGGTCATAAGTAGTGCAGGTTGTTACATGAGTCACCATGTGACCACACCTGACTTTGACCTTTTTAGCAGCAGCTGTTATGCAAATCCACAATTGTCTGCAAGGGGCGTTTTTTGCTGGAAATAGGAAGTAAATGGCAATTTTCAGCAAAAACAACAACATTGTAAATCATGTCATGTGATATAGGGAGACTGCAAATAGATTGTTGGGGGCAATATGCTGACTGTGAACCGCTTAGAGAGGGACGTAAAGTACTATGAAATGGTATATAAGTCTAAGTGCTATTGCTACTGCTAATGCAGGCCAGCTATCGAGTGCCCAAAACACAATCGTGTGACCATGCGGGGACGCGGCCATCAGACCTTTGAATCTGGATCATAAGTAGGCCTGGGGAAATCTGCCATAACTTCCAATGGTCATTAAGCAAGTGGTCATAAGTCAAGGACTACCTGTACTTACTGCTTTTTCATGACACTCAGAATCTATTAGCTGAAACAAGGGAGGTCCGGGGGGGGGGGGGAAATGACATCAAAATGGCAGTGACTGACCTATCAAAGCCCTCCCCCTTTTTTATATATGCTAGAAGAGGCTTTGATCACTGGCCACACTAATCATTTTGGCAATGTTAAATAACTCCCCCCCCCCGCAGCAATTACCTTTGTCTTCCTATCAACAGCAGCAGCCCTGCTTTCTAACACTCCTGTCACTCTTTTTCATGCTCTTCCTTCTTCTGCCCCAAGTGAGCTGCTGAGACAGAGATCTCTTGCCAAAGTTATAAACAGATCACTTTTAGTTGGGGTCACGCATTTGAGATGTCAAAAAAAAAAAAAAAAAGATCAGAAAGCACTAATCCTTTGTTGTCATCAATTTATTTTAAAATTACCCATGAGGTAATTTGGGCTAGTTCTTCTTAAGCCTTGCCCTAAGGCAAGGGTAGGCAACCTTGGCTCTTTTATGACTCATGGACTTCAACTGCCAGAATTCCTGAATTCTGGGAGTTGAAGTCCACGAGTCATGAAAGAGCCAAGGTTGCCTACCCCTGCCCTAAGGCCTAAATGTTGCACTCATTGACAAAATCTCCACCTAAGTAACTGAAGGATGGGCAAGGCCAAACAGTTCTCCTGTGTCAAAATTACCACCCTTCATCCACTTCTGCCAAAGGTGCAGGGCAGGTAAAGAGGAAATTTAAATATCTCTTTTGCAATATGGACAATGCAAGCTATTTTGGCAGAGGAGACCTTTTTTTTTTTTAAAAAAAAATATCTTTATTATTATTTTAATAACAAGATTAACAATTATCAATCTTAAAGACCAAAATTAAAAATACAAATGACAAATACAAAGTCTATCACAATTTTGAAATTTCATAAGGTTTTTCGCTTTAGTCAGGCTGGATGCACTACCCTTCGCAGTCCTTTTTGAAGGTTTTAAGGGTACTCCTCTGTGTCTTTGCTTATGTCCATGTGGTATTGATTTCATAGAAACTCTAAGCCAATGCTACACTGCTGCTTCCTATAATATATAAGGCCTCTAGACTAGCGGCCCCCAACCTTTTGGGCGCCAGGGACTGGTTCTATGAAGAGAGGTTTTTCCATGGACCGGAGGAAGTCTGGTTTTGTGTGCTGCCTGCATCCTGCGGATGGGGCTTTGCTTGTTTGCGCGGCCCAGTTTCTGGCATGCCGTGGCCTGGTGCTGGTCCATGGAATGGGGGTTGGGGACCCCTGGTCTAGACAGACTTCATTTATCTGATCTTGAAGAAATTTCCAGACAGGGATTTGTACTGACTGTTAGTTCTTTTTGATAAGGACTCAAAAATATCCCCCCAAAATATTTTGCGCCTCCATCTACACAATAAATTACACCATTAACTAATCTTGAATAATTGATTATTCTTCTCTTTTACTAATAATATTTTTATTTTATTTTATTATACATGTTTTTATTTGTCTCCTTTTTTTCTCTGATAGAGATGTATATAACAGTTCTTCTATTGGAGATTTTACTGTTTCTGGCTTTATGGCTTTAATAAATTATGTGATTTGAACAAAGGGGAAAAAAATCTACCTTTTATTTTATACTTATAAATAGTAACTAGTTTATCAATGAATTCACTACTAAAATAAGAATACAAGCAGTCCTCGACTTACAACTGGTTGTTTAGTGATTGTTGGAAGTTACAATGGACCTCCCTGTCAGTACTTATGACCCAATTCCAAAGTTCTGACAGCTGCCCACCCCAGTGGTTATGTGACTGCATTTGGTCATTCAGCAACCAGCAACCAGCCCGCATTTACAGCCATTGGTAGTATCCTGGAGTCACACGTCCATGTTTTTATGATGGTGTTGCTGAAAACTGGCATTTACTTCCAATTTTCCACAAAACTGATCATGGAATTCACTCAACAACCGCAACAAAAAAGGTTGTAAAATCAAGTCAGTCACTATTATAGTCATGACTTACAACCGTGGTGGGCAGGCTCCATTAATGGTCATAAATCAAGGACTACTTGTGTATAATACCTGTATTATAATACTTGTATAAGGTATTGTAAAAAAAAACAGTATCTCTGCCATAGTAACAAATATTGCTGCATGGCAGAAGATTCCCTTTGCTTATTACCTGTCCTGCACAAACCCAAAACACTAGTAACTGCAAGTATGAGAAGGCCAAGTATAAACACAAACAATTCATAATTAGCCAGGTAATGCTCCATAAGGTCTTGCTATTATTCAAAAAAAAAAATAAAAATAAGGAGAAGGTCAAATTAAACAGCCTTTTGCCCCCAATTTTAATTCAGTGGAAATTAATCAGAGACAAAGCTGCTGATCCTTTAGCCTCTAATCAATTGAAAATGTGAGCCACATGTTAAAAATGAATTGCCAAGCAACAGTTTCACCCTATATCTCTTTGGTGTCTGCCCTTTTTATACCCTCAAAACTTACCTCCCGCAGCTGGGGTAGTCTCCGTGGCAGGGATGCGAGTTTCACAAGTCACCTGGGGGCTTTGCCGTGTGCTGCAGCTTTGGGAAAAAGGGACGTTAAGAAGGCATGAATATATGTAGACAAAAAAGCTTCTCTTCCATCTCCCCTCTCATTCAAAATCTTGTATCTGTTCATCACCCCACTGAGTTGGACTCACCTAATGCCACAGGGTTCAATCCGTTCAGATCTCCAGTCATGGACATGGGGACCAGCACCCCCCATGACTGCGCCACAGTCAGCACAGCCAGGGATCTCACTTCGGGGGCCCAGGTTGAGCCCCCCACATCCAGATGGGGGGCTTTGCAGGGCCCCCAGAGGTTGCTTTACTTTGTCCTGTGAGGAGACACTGACATGATTCAAAAGGTATTTAACATGAATGCTATTTTCAGATGCATTAACAGAGGCACAGAGTCCAGATGAAGGGGAATAATTGTTTTGCTCAATTCTGCCTTGGTTGGATGCTACTGGTGTACTGGGTTCTGCTCTGGGCACCACAGTTCCAAGAAAACAATGGCCAGTTGGAGCAAGTCCAGAGGCTGGTGAAAAATCAGGAAGCCAAGCCTTACGAGGAATGAATTAAGTATCAGAATATGTTAGCCTGTAGAACAGATGTCTGAGAACATGCTCAGATATATTTACAATTTTTATACAGAAGAAGGAGTAGAGTTATTGTCTATTGCTACAGAGGGCAGGACCAGAACCAGTGGATTAAAATTTGGGGAAAGCTGATTCAGCCTAGAGATCAGAAGGAACTTTCTGACGCCTGTCTATGGAAATGACTGTCACATGAACTGTTGACTTCTTCTCTGTCAAAAGTCTCCAAACAAAGGAAAAAATCATCATCTGTCAGAGAGGGTCTGGTGGATCCTGCACTGAGAAGGGAGTTGGAGCAATAAGGCCCCTTCCAACTCTATGAATGGAGACGGTGGTAGCCAAAAATAGCTCATAAGCCCTGATTTTAAGACTCATACTTGTTAAACCTGTGCAACAGGACCCAGCAACTACATTGTGGTCTGCTGTTTGCTTGACTATCTCCTCACCACCATCTAGCCTGTGAAAACCAAAAGCAAACAAAAAAGAAAGAAAAAAGTTTGCTGAAGGTACAGGACTCTACAATTATCCTGCCCCTCACCCATAAACCTGCCCAACGGGCATATTTCCAATTGTCAACATTATTTGCATTTCCATGTAGTGAAAATACATCATATGTATATGATATCCACATATACCAGCGGACATCAGTGGAGGTCCTGCACTGTTCATTGGTACACAAGTAAAACCCCTGACAAGTAACAAAGGAAACATGGAGGGTAAAAGATATCACAAGCTTGAGTGAGTAATCAAATCACTGGGAGATTCAACTGGCTCTTGTTCTGGAATTGTATACGGTTTGTGAGCTGCACTGCATTATAACCACATCTTGGGATAATGCACAACCAGACCTTTACTCATAATTTGAAGCCATGAGCCAACAATGTTGTAAGTGGACTAGAAGCTACACTGATTTTTTTTTTGGGAGGGGAATCCCAGGACCATAGTGGGTGATGCAAATTAGATAGGGATGATTTTCCCTCTTGTTTGGAGAAGAGTTTTGGCACAGAGGGGCATCATTGTTCTTTAAACTATGTTAATCCCACTGTAGGATGTACACTATAGCTTTTCTATGATATCTGCCTCAAAATGGTGAGAAATTGGGCCACTAAGTTTCAGCAGTAAATGGCCTAAAAAAGCTCCAAATATTGCAAAGAAAGAACACCATAAACTGATGTTCTGCAGTGAATAAGTGATTTCAACACATCACAGTAAATCAGCAGTTCTCAATCTTTGGGTCGCAACCCCATTTGGGGTCAAACGACCATTTTACGGGGGTCGCCAAACAACGCGATCTGCCATTTTTTTCCCTCAGGGGGCGGCGCCGCGCATGGGGGCGGCGCGTCCTTATGACCGGGGTCGCCGTATAAAAAGGTTGAGAACCACTGCAGTAAATCATGATCAAAGAGTATTATATTTCAGCATTATGCAGCCACTGTGTAGGATGGTATCTTTTTGGTATGCTCCAAATATTTAATGAAGTCCTGCCCCAGAGTTTACTTTTCAGTATGCACAAGACATAAGATACTACAGGAAATAGAAAGGCAGCTATTGTTGAATTCATCACATGTATATTTGGGATAAGAGTGTTATAGCATCTGAGATGAATGTGTGTGTATGTGTGCATGTTTGTGTGTGTGTATTTAAGAGCTTTAATTTTTTTATTAAGTTATTTTTGTATGTTGCTATTGTGAGTCATCCAGGATTATATTCTATAAAATGGGAGGCCACATAAATCTAATGAATGAATAAAAAAAATAAACAAGTGTCCTGAATTTATAGCTCCTCTCTTTGCAGTGGCTCGATAGTATGAAAAGATAATCAAGTAACTGCATACAAGCTATGTTGTCACAAATTATATACAATATAGCAGATATGTCAAACACAAGGCCCAGGGGCCAGATGCAGCCCGCAAAGTTGTTTCATGTGGCCCGCAAAGCCATCCTTGAAACAGTGAGGGAATGGCCCCCACTACCTTGGCCCTGGCCCAGGCCAGCCGGGAGCCAATGTACAATTTTGTGGTGGCCATCTAGGCTGAAACACATTCAGTCTTAGCTCCATAAGGCCATTTGGAAACAGCAAGGGACCGGGCCCTGCCGTGTCAGCCCTGCCCCCTGGGTGCATGCTAGGGAGGTGTCACCTTTTGTGAGGAATGAAGAAATGCACCATTGCCTGGAAGTGGCCAGCAAATAGCCCTGGCCTACTTCACCTATTCGGCTTGATGGGCTCTCGGGGAAGGGTTTCAGCAAGCTCTTCCAGTGGACTATGCCTTGGCTCTTACCCTGGTCCCACCCCCTTCTGCCAGAGACCGTCAGATCTGTCGCACTCCTGCCCAGGCCCTCACAGGCACCCTTGACATGAATGATGTAGAGCTGGCCACCCCCACCCAGTAGGCCACACTCACTCCAGCCACGCCCACCCTGGCCATACCTACCCGGCCCTCCCAAGGACAACCGCAATACTGATGTAGCCCTCCATGAAATTGAGTTTGACAGCCCTGCAATATAGTGTAACACAATCATTCCCTCTTCTTATTCCCCCTCCTAAGGGGGATCTGGCTGGCTGACCTTGGGTCATTCACTCAGCCCACCCCACCCCATAGGATTGTTGTTGTGGGGAAAAGAGGAGGAGGGAGGAGAATCAGGTATGTTTGCCACTTCGAGTTACTTACAAAGTAATAAAAGCGAGATAAAATCAAATAAATAAATAAATCCCTCTAAGCACCATTATGGTTCAAGATCATTGGCAGAGCATGAAATTTCAGGGACAAGAGCCTAGAGTCCATTCTAGTCCAAAGGGTTGGGAAGAACAACTCTCAGTCTAAAATAATGGGAACTTCTGTCAGTCATAAGACCCAGAACCCATGATACATATACTATGGTTTAGCAAACAACTTCAGCTTTTGCTATTGCCAAAGATCTCTTTTTGTCTACTAAAACATAATTATTGTATTATTATTTTTTTAGCAAAAAGCTTCCAGATCATCCTAAATAATATTGATAGTATCACTATTATGCTAACAAGTATTTTTCTCATATACAAGACATCCCTCACCTGTTTTCTACATATACAGTAAGACTTGTCCCACATTCTGTGCTCTTCCTGTTGAATTATGATACAGCATCCATGTCATGGCTATGCAGATAAGGGAAATTAGTTTTAAGAGTCATTATAGCACGCTGGATAGAAATCTGGAACCAGGAGAGAAAAAAATCTGGGTGCAAATTCCCATTAGCCACTGGTTAGCCATAAGCCAGTGATCAACCAATTTTCAGTCAACTATATCTTAAGTTATTATGAGGAAAAAAGAGAGCATGGAGAGGACTATGTTTGTCTTAGAATAGGCAGATGGGAAACAGAATTGCCCCATGCCCACCAGAGACAGAAAGCAAAGGCCATCTATATGGGGCATTGTCTTCAGTGCTCCTTCCTTTCTTCCCGTTGCCAGTTACTTATACTCTCCCCAGTACTATAAGCCCAAATATTCGGTATTGGTGGCAACAGCCACAGCATTTAAAGATGCCAAACTCTGACTGAGCAATAGGGAATTGGACTTGATAGCAATTAACCCACCATTTTAAAACCACCCAATTTTCCCATCACATTATGGTGGAAAGGGGAGACTGTCATAGAATCTATAGATCTGAAATCCAGATACCAAGTAAGAGGTCAACTTGAATTTGGACAGTAGATAGCAGCAGAATCCTGAACAGATGGACATACTTGCCTTGCCAACATTTTCAACTGCTTTTGGAAATATTAAGACTTCCTGAGCAGGGACAACCATAGGGGGAGGTAAATTAAAGATGTGCAATTTGACTTAGATTAGATTAGATTAAAACATTTGAATGAACTCAGAAAATGAATCTATTCCATTCAGATCTAATTTGATATGGATCACATCTCTAAAAAGGACCAACTTAATTTGGACCAATTTGGAACATTAAAAATATCTGCCCATTCTGGGTAAGGAGCTGACTCAGTCTATATAGAATATTCCCCCATGTTTAATCTAAATCAGGGGTCCCCAACCTCCGGTCTGTGGACCAGTACCCGGCCGCAGCATGCCAGCAACTGGTCCGCACAAACAAGCCAAGCCCCATCCACGAGATGCAGGCAGCACACAAAACCACATACCCTCCAGTCCACGGAAAAACCTCTCTTCATGGAACTGGTCCCTGGTGCCCCAAAGGTTGGGGACCTCTAATCTAAGTGTAACAAATATAAAAATATTTAGATTAAATGCTACAAACATGTGAAACACACTCTTCAGTTCAAGAAATAGAGGCTGCCACACTATAATCAGACAACAATTGTGATAATTCTGTGATAATACTATTATAAAACACTTAGGAAAATGTTTGGAAATTCTTATGCCAATCAGTTGCTAACATCATTAAATGAAAAAAAAAGATTTGTACGAAAGAGAATGGCAGCCTGAAAATTTTCAAACGGCTTTGGGAAAGGCAATTTATGGCAAAAGTAGGCCACCCAATTCTGGGAGGCCACACATGGACCTAAATCTAATTTTTGCAACTCCTAGAGAAGCCCCCAAATTCAGTGTTGAGTCTTTTTAAGCAAAAGAACACTAATAAGCACATTTACTCTGAATGGTCCCCTTCCCTAATAAATAAAAAAAAAATAAAAAAAATCAGGCCTGGCATTTTTGCTCTGTCCCCTCAGGTAACATTTCTATTTTACTGCTATGCGCTTTTAGAAGCTGAAAAAAACTGTTTAAAAATGAAGTGTGTTCACAAAATGAAAATCAATTCCCTAACCCTTACTCACAGTATGTGGGAAATGATTTCAGTGATCTCCCATATATGCCTGCAGTTAGGAAATTAGGCATTAGTGAAGAAAAACTAATTCTTGTTCCTTTAGGAGATCATTTCTGGTATTAAGTGGATATAGTGGGCATTAATATTGCATGTGCCTGACTTCCTTGCATTCATAATACATTTTAAAGGAGTCCTTCTGCAAAGTTATCAACATATAGGCCTCCCTACATATATTCAGAAGCCTTAAAATATTTATCAAATTTATATAGCCGTCCATCTCACAAGTGGTAGGGTGTTTTTTTTTTTTTATTCTTTAGATCTTGCTCTGAACACATGGAGATCAGGAAGGCGTAATCCCATTCCTTCATCTCTGCATGTTCAAATAAATCTGAAAAGGATTATACAATGTGTAGAATGAAGTGGAAAAGCTTTTTCTGGACTGGATTGCTCCAGCCTGCAGATGAAGCAATTACATCCACATTCTATCATTAAAAATTTGAGCTTCTGCATACTGAAAGCTGACAGGTCGGGGAAAAGCTTTTTAGCTAGTCATCTTTCTGACTAATAAATTTTCTATGTGAAGGGAGCTGAAATCTTATGGAATGTAAGAAAAACTAGCTTAAGCAGGTGCTAATCTTATACAGCATAGTGGTTATAATTTTATGCATAGGTTACTAAATTTTCCTAAGACATATTCACTAATAAGTTTAGTGAAGCCAACCTTTCTAAGACTTGGTACACAGCGTGGTGGTCAAGAGACAAAATAAATATTTCAGTTAAATTTTATTCAAATCTCACCACGGCCATGAATGTTTTGCTATTGCACTAAAGCAATATACAGGAAATACTTTCAACACTACAAAAATAATGAGTGTTATGATTACTTTCATGTTTCAAATATTTTAGTTTTGACCGTATGCTGTTCCACTAGCCAAGCTTGGACGACTTAAATGTTTTGATCACCTACAATCCCCTAACTTGGGGGGGGGGATAATACATTGAAAGAATTCTTGAGAATGAATTACATATATCTAAAAAAACTGGTGAAAGGCAGAATATGGGTAAATAATACAAGCATAATTTAGCCACAGGGTTCAGGCAGGCAGGTAAGCTAAAGGTAAGTATCAAACCATTTGTTTTCTATGTGTTATACCTGGAAACAAAGTGATAATAACTTTTGGGACGAATCCCCAATTCCAAAAATCCTCTAGTGTTTCTAATAACCAGTACTGTACTGCAGTGACTCCCACATTTTTCCTTATCAGCCGTGAGATCACTAGATGCATACAAGAAGATGATTTTATTTCAGCTCACCTATTACTGTTATATAGACTAAATGTACTGTCTGAGTGGAGAACATCCCTGCAATCCTTTGGACTCCTTTGGATGTCATTCCCTTGAGTCATACATGCATCATGGTGTGACAAAGATCAGCACCCCACTTTCGGAAACCAGGCAATAGACCAAATGTCCTGGGACCCCTGGAAAGGAAACGGGTTTTATCAGGGACCTTAGGGGGATGCTCTGGACAACAGGAGACCACGGATGCTGTGAAGGTGGACGAGAGGAGGTTGCCTGACTCCACGTGCAGGCCTCTGTCCTGGCAATCATGACAGAGCTAAAGCCATGTTCCCAGAGGATGGCTAGTCCCTGTTGATCCCTACCCTCTCTCCACCCAGATAACAAGTTCCAAAACGTTGCAGATAAAGTAGCTGGCCCATGTGTGCTTGCCTGTGATAAAACCCGACAGAAAAGGACACTATACTCCCCCCACCTGATTCTCCCCGGCCTTGTCCCATCTTATCCATCGCTATTCTTCCCCTGACAAATCCTATCACTTTTCCAGTATGCCATAATCCATCCAGCTTTCTCTCTCTCTTTCCTTTTTCGGTCATCCTCGCGAAGGGCAGCCAGCCAGCCAGCCAGGCAGGGAGCCACCTTTCTCCCACAAAGCCCCACTCTCTCTCCCCCATTCCACCCGGGATCTTTCGCTTCTCGCTCTCCTGCAGCCTCCCTGCAGCCAGGACAGCCTGGGCCATCCAGCCAGGACAGGTCATCCTCCAGCTATGGCCCTGCCGGGAAAAAGAAATCGCTGAAGGGGACGGATATCCTTACCTCTTTAACGGTCCCCGCCGCCAGCGCTGAAGCCGGTTTTGAATCGCCTGTCTTGCACGAAGCCCCTGTGACGGGGATGGCACCGGTAGTCGCGGCGGCGGGATCCAGAGCGGCTAGGAGCCACCTCGCTGCTGAAGCTGCCCTAAATAGCAGCAGTGAGCAGGGGAGGGACCATCGGTTGTAGCCATGACGACGGCGATTGCTATGCTCCTTCTCCTCCCCGACTGAAAAGGAGGCCCGTGGAAGCGGGAAGAGAAAAGAAGGACGGATGGGCTGGCCAATGGCAACATCGCAGCAGCAGATAATCCGCAAGACCAGGCTCTCCTTTCCTAGGAGCCTTTTTCCCCACCGATGTCACGCGCTTGCTGGCCTCTAGGGGCCGCTGACGCGCGTCGGGAGTACTGCCTCCCGTGGCAGCCTTTTATTATTAGTTAATTACATTATTACAATTGACTAATTATATTATTAGCATGCGTTACGTTTCTGTTTTTGAAGACCTGGTGCGTTTTTCCCTTCGCATCTTGGGCAGAACTGAGGCATCTCTACAGTAAATCGCAAGCGCAATTATGAATTATCCTCATGACGTCGAATCACTCAGCCCTTCCTTCCAACGTTACACAAGCGGACCCTCGTCTTAGTCGTGCTTTAAAGGAAAAGTGAAGTGATTGCACGTGGGCACACGCACATACTGGACTGCAGCATCAGAGACCGACATTTCCAGCTTAGGTCCTTTCCACAACCACCTTGTTCACTCTCCCAACCTTCATAATGGCTATGATGGTCCTCACCAGGACCCACCCCAGTTGAGCATCCTACCCTGAACTAAGGCTATTAAAGGAAGAGCATTAAAAAATCGCAATCCCTTCATGCTCCCCCAAAAGGAAGGCTGAGCGTGTGTTCGCTGTTTTGGTGGAAATCACCACTGTGCCTACAAAAAACGGTAACAGCTAACTACCATGGCATCACCTGCTGTTCACAAGAGAGCAACCTTCATCTGATTAAAGCAATGGCATGAAAGCCGGTGTGGTTTAGTAGTTAAGGTGTTGGATTCTAGGAATTAGCACTAGGGTGCAGATTTGATGAAACATGCAAACCACTCCACTTGCATACTTGCACCAGAATACAGAACACAAAAGATTTGCATTAGGATATCACAACACATATGGTGTTACTTTTTCATTATCATGATTTGTGTTGGATTCCTATGGCTCAATAATTGTTCCCCTATAATGCAAAATTTTGAAGATTACAAACAGACAAGAGAGTTTTAGTAGTATATAGATAAATATATTTTAGTGTTCTTGTTGCCATGGGCAGAAAAAATACTATATTCACATTTTATCAGGAAGAAGCATAGCAGTTACAACTGATATGATAGCCGTTTTCCAGACTGCATTTACTAACATGCTGTTGGTAAATAGCATGTATAATCATAATTTATAATGGTTTGACTCAGGTCAAGTCCTAGTCAAGCAAACATTTCATGGAAAGATTTTGTGATGTAAAAAATTGAGGACCAGGACTGGAAATTAAAGTCACACTGCAGTCATGAAACCACATGGAGAACCTGAAGCTAACTACAATTTCTCAGCCAAATCTATCTCACAAGTAGTTGTGAAAATTAAAAGAGCAGGGGAGAATCATAAGCTTAATTTCAGAATATGTGTAAAGAAAAGTAAGTACAATTAAACCTAAAAAAAGGAGGAATACAATATCTTGAAAATGGTTTCCATGGGAAATAGGAAATTTGTGAAATATGAATTTGAAATTGAAATGACTGGAGTAGTATTTCTGGCCCACCCTCCCTTAAGCTCTCAGAGAGATACAATACAGTTATCATGCTGGGCACCAGGACACACATTTGCCAAACAGGGCTGATTGTGGATTAAAAACTAAGTAATCAATTAGATAACCACCCAATCCTGAACATATTTCCTCCCTCTTCGGTAAGCTGGTTTAGTTTCTGTAGGAATTATTCTCAGGTAGATCAAGATGCTGCTCAATATTTCCATATTTCCAATGTTGCCAGATGGCCAAAGATTTTATAGTCAACTAGTCTCAAAATTTTGTAATCCAGAATTAGTCCAAAAGTCTGAACAGAAAAATTGTTATGCAAAGAGATTCTGCAGATGTGTGTA